CTCCTCCTCCCCTCGCGCTTCGGGGCGTCAGGCTTTCCGGGGTCGCGACCTCATGATGATGATGATGATGATGATGATCATGGTGAGGATGATGGTGATGATGATGATGATGCTGCTGATGATGATGATGATGATGGTGACGATGCGTATGACGATGAGGAGAGGAATATGATTGTGACGGACAGCGGGGATGAACAACATGATGGGTTGAGGACAACGAGGAGGAGGAAGAGGAGGAGGAGGTTGGTCGTCGTGGTGATGGTGAGGGGGATGAGGAGGAGGAGGAGGAGGAGGAGGAGGAGGAGGAGGAGGAGGAGGAGGAGGAGGAGGAGGAGGAGGAGGAGGAGGAGGAGGAGGAGGAGGCGTGTGGCGCCGCCGGTTCTGGCTCACCACGCTGCGGCGCCGCATGCTAAGCACGATCCGGTCCCACAGCGCACAGCGTCATCTCCTCGAGCTCCTGCCAGCCTCCCGCCCCACGGAGCGGAGCGACACGCTATCAGCTCGCCAAGGCATAGCGTGCCGCCAGGCGCGCCGCTGCGACACGCTCAGCACAAGTCCTTGGCCGTAGGCTTCTTGGCGGTTTTGGGCCTTGGCTGGGACTGCCAGCGCGTCCTTGTCGCCACGAGGCCAGGTTTTCCAGAGAAATATTCGGCAGGCCGCAAGCGCCACATGGGGCGTTTCAGAAAGGGCCTTGCCTTCAAGGGTCGAAGGAGTTGTCATCTCTTCCTCGGCGGAAGGCAGCGGAAGGGCGGCGGAAGGTCGTCGGAAGTAGAAGATGCCCCCCCAAGAGATGAAAACCATTTTGGGTTCAAGGTCTCCGAAACCGCCCACATGAGGGGTCCGAGGGGCCGACAGGAACGGGAGGGGCCCAGATTTCCAGGCGCCGTCGAGGCATCATCGGGGGCGCCAAAGAGGGACTACAGGGCGGCAGTCGTCCGGGATTGCGTTTCCCATAACTTAAAGTTATGGGAAACGCTATTGTGGCTCATTGAGTGCGGCTTTTGAAGGAAAATTGCGTTTCCCATCACTCGCGAGGTGTAGGGCCTCGTCCAGGGAGGTTCTTTGCTGGCGTTTTCGTGGGCTCCCTGGGGTTTTGCCAGCCTCCGGATGCTTCAGCCGCAGCCGCGCCTCGCCAGGAGCGGCCCCCCAGGTGTGCCCGGATCGTCCCGTGAGAGGCCGCCGGAGACCGGGTGTGGCGTCCTGAAAACACCAGGCGCCTGACAGGGGGTCAGGACTGTGACTTCCTATTATTCTTCTTCTTCTTCTTCCTCTTCCTCTTCCTCGTCCTCTTCTTTTTTTTCGTCTTCTTCTTAGTCCTCTTCCTCTTCTTCTTCTCATTAGTATGTGTCCTATCTTTACATTCTTATTAGTATCTCATTCGTATTCTTCGCCCTCTTCGTCATAACACTGATGGTTACCATTGCTTCTTGTTATGTTGTATTTGGTATTATTTTCTTGTTCTCATGATTGCTCTTCGCATTCGCATTTGTACTCGCATTCGTATTCGCATCCCTATTCGTATCATATGTTTTTTTCTCTACGTATTATCAGTCGTTGCGATGTGTATGATCATGAGATTATGAGTCTAATCATTCTTTTCGTATAATTCGTATCATTCTTATTATTCTTATCATTATTATTGACATTATCCTTATCATTATTATCCTTTTTGCTATTATTCTTCCCCGCTCGTCCGCTCCCCATGCTTTTGGCCCCAGTGCGCACCACCCCCTCTTCCTGGCCCCCCTGGGTCCGAGCAGATGGGGTTGGAGGATCGCGCCGCATCGTCGATGCATCGGCGATGCGGCCCGATGTGGAGCTCGATTTTCTCCGCGCTGGCGTCGTCGATTCATCGCCGATGTCGCCGATGCATCGGCGATGTATCGCCGATGTATCGCCGATGTGTCGGCGAGGTTGTCTTGAAAAATGAAGCGACCGAGGATAGGATCGATGACCGAGGCGAGGATCGAGGACCGAGGTTCCAGGTTCGAATGCCTGCACTCCGATTGAGACTAATTGCGTCATGCCTTAATTCGGGTAGCTGAGGGAAACTGAGGGTAACTAGGTGTAACTAGGTGTAACTAGGTGTAACTGGGCGTAACTAGGTGTAACTAGGTGTAACGTATGTATGCTTGTATGTATGTATGAGTGTATGTATGTACGTCTGTATGTATGTATGAATGTATGTACATATGCATGCATGTATGTCGGAGGTGAGGGAGTGAGATCGAAGTGGAACGGAGGGCCCCCCTACCAGGAAATCGGTTTCGGTTTCGTGTTCGTGCGTGCCGTGCGTGCGGGCGAGGCGAAGCTGCGTGGGCGGGCGAGAAATAAGTCTCCTGCAGCTGAGGCGCGGCCGGACCAAAAGTCTCCCTTTCGGCAACCAGTGCCCCGCAGTGTCCCGCCGGTGTCCCACTCGGGGGCCGGTGGCGCGCGGTGTCCCGCCTGTGTCCAGCCGGTGTCCCGTCGGTGTCCCAATGATGTTGATGATGATGTTGATGATGTTGACGATGATGATGATGATGATGATGATGATGATGATGATGATGATGATGATGGTGATGGTGATGTCGATGGTGATGGTGGTGATGATCATGGTTTCCCTATGATGTTGGTGATGATGATGTTGACGATGCTGATGATAATGGTGATAGTGGTGATGATGATGGTGCCGTGATGATGGTGATGATGTTGATGATGATGATGTTGCTGATGATGATGATGGTGCCCCGACGATGATGATGGTGTTGATGATCCTGATGATGTTGATGATGATCAGATGATTTCGTGATGATGATGAAGATGATGATGGTGTCCCGATGATGATGATGATGATGATGATGATGATGAGGTTGATGATGATGTTGTTGATGATGATGGTGATGATGGTGTCCCGATGATGATTACAATGACGATGATGATGGCGATGATGGTGTCCCGATGATGATGATGATGATGATGATGATGATGATGATGTTGACGATGAGGATGCTGATGAGGTGATGATGATGATTTTGATGATGGTGGCCCAATGATTGTGATGATGATGCTGATGTTGATGATGATGGTGACCCGATGATGTTGATGATGATCATGGTGATGATGATGATGATGATGATGGTGACGGTGATGATGGTGTTCCGATGATGATGATAATGGTGATGTGGTTAATGATGATGATGGTGTCCCGATAATTATGAGGTTGATGATGTTCTTCATGATCATGATGATGAGATGATGATGATGATGGTGGTGTTCCGATGATGATGATGCTGTCCCGATGATGATGTTGATGATGATGATGGTGACGGTGATGCTGTCCCGGTGGTGATGATGGTGATGATGATGTCGATGATGATGGTGATGAGGTGATGGTGATGATGATGATGATGATGATGATGATGTCCCGATGATGCTGCTGATGATGATGATGTTGATGGCGTTGATGACGATGATGTTGATGATGGTGATGACGTTGATTGTGATATCGATTGTGATATCGATAGTGAGGTCGATAGTTAGACCGAGTGTGAGAACGATTGTGAGATCGATATTGAGATCGATAGTGAGGTCGATTGTGAGATCGATCGTCACTTCGATTGTGAGATTGATCGAATGAAATAGATCGAGTGAGATCGATTGTGAGATCGATCGAGTTAGATCGATCGAGCGAGACCGATAGTGAGATCGATAGTGAGGTCGATAGTGAGACCGACCGAGTGAGACGTTGGTTCCCCCCCCCGAACCTCCTTATCACCCGAAGGGTGGTCGTATATGTAATATATGTATGTACGTATGTATGCATGCATGCATGCATGCGTCATAAACTAATACATGGAATGGCCTTCGGTCCATCCCGCCACCGTGCCTGGGTTGTGGCTCTCAGGCCTCGTGGATGTTCGTTTGGAATATCGTCGAGACCTCTGGGGGGCCTCCTGGAGCGGTTTGAGGCCTCTCGGGGGCTTGTCTGGAGCCTTCTAAAGTCTGATTTGGGCCTCGTGTGGGCCAATTTGGGGCCTCGTGGGGGCCTCTTGGGGGCCTCGTGGGGCCTCTTGGGGCCTCCTGGGCGCCTCTTGGGGCGGAAGGCTCGGATTTTTGGTTCGTGTGCCCCCCCCTCTTAGGCCCCTCTTGGAGCCGTCTTGGGCGCCTCTTGGGCAGACTTGCGGCCCGCTTGTGCTGTCTTTGGCCCCTCGGGGGCCTCTGGGGCCGTTCGGAGGCATTATTGAAGGCCTCTTGGGTCTTCTTGGAGCGTCGGAAGCTCGAGAAGTCGAGGACCCCCAAATAATTGAATAACTTCAGGAGAATCGCTGATTTGGGCCTCTCGTGGCCCTCTTGGGAAGGCTCTTTGGAGACCTCTTGCGGCGTCTCGTAGGCCTCTTGGGCCATCTTGGTGCCACCTTGAGCGTCTTGGGCCGATCGTATAACGATTCGGGGCGGTCCCTTAGGCCGTCCTGGGGCCGGACGTCATCAGGGGAGAGAGGAGAGTAGTATTCATATCGTGTAACTCTTGAGGGGGAACGGGGGAGGGGAGAGAGGAGAGGTGAGAGAGGAGAGGGGGGAGAGGAGAGGGACAGCGGAGAGGGAGGGGGACAGGGAGAGGGGAGAGGGGAGAGGGAGAGGGGAGGGGAGGGGGGGAGGGGAGGGAGGGGGAGGAGAGGGGAGAGAGGGAAGAAGGGAATGACCAGGGAGGGAGGGAGAGGAGGAGGGAGGAGGAGTAGGGGAGGAGGAGGAGGAGGAGGAGGAGGGAGGAGGCGGAGGAGGAGAGGAGGAGGAGGAGGAAGAGGAGGAGGAGAAGGAGGAGGAGGAGGAGGAGAAGGGAGGAGGGAGGAAGGAGAGGAGGGCGGAGGGAGGAGTGATGAGACCTGTGCGTGGCCATTCGGGCTGCAGCGCCAGCCTATTCGCAGGGCGCCTGGCAGCCGCCGATGGCGCCCTGGCCCAGCGCCACGGCGCCCGCCGAGCTCGCGGGGGGGCTGGCGCCATGGCCGCTTGGCCCGCCCCAGGCGCCGTGCACGCGCTACCGCAGGGACCAGGACGGCACCTACGCCCTGATGGCGCCGCCCCGCAAGGCGTGGGGGCGCTGTCAGAGATCGAGGCTCTAGGAGGGTGGGCTTTCAGGTGCGTTCTTCTAACACTTCTGGGCCCCTATAGGAGGCCTCTCGGCGCCACCGCCGAATTTCCTCCAGGGGTCTGCTCAGAGCGCAATCCCCCGGACAGATCTTGGGCCCGACTTTTTTCAAGGTGGCCCAGCTTTCCTGGGGATGCACAGGTGGCCTCCAGAGCGCCCCCCCCCCCCCCCCCCCCCCCCACGAGGGCCACAGAGGCCGCATGGGACCCACAGCGGCGCGCGCGAAATACGGTGTGCTGCTTGATTTGTACAATGCGAGGCCCCTGGAAGTCCCGACCCCTTTCTTCCCCAGAGCCGGCTTTTCGTCCTGAGCAGTTGTTTCACGGTCCTGGAGCCCGGCGAGGGCCACCAGCGGCCGAAACGGCGAAAAGCCGCCGCCTTGCCTTGATTTGTTCAATGCGTTGGTGGTCTTGGTTGGGCCAAGATAACCCCATGATATCCTGAGCTGGGCACCACCCCCTCGACGGCCACCCACAACGGCGCGAAATGCCGCGGGCACCTTGGGCGCATTTCACCTCTGAGCGACGGAAGACAATGGGGGCGACTGCGCGGACATTCGCGCGTAAGCTTCCTGCGCAAGGTCGCGCCTTGCGCGCTCTCTTCTCCACGCTGTGTGTCTCGCTGACGGCCCGCGTGAGCCAAGGTGCAAGGTCGCAGCGTCATCGTGCGTAAGACCTCTTTCTCGCCTCGTCTATCAAACTGCTCAGCCTCCTCCCCCCCCTCCTTACCCTCCTCCTCCTCCTCCTCCTCCTCCTCCTCCCTCCCCCTCCTTACCCTCCTCCTCCTCCTCCTCCTCCTCCTCCGTAGCCATTTTGGCTCAAGGCCATGGCGCGCGGCGGCGTCCAAATGGATACCGCTGTGCCGCGGCCAGGAGTCGAGATTCCTTTGCAGCCACCCCCAGGGCGAGCTGCCGCCAAAGACTGGTCCGCCTGGACCCACAGGTTTGTGCCCGCGAGGGCTCTCCATCGCAACGCATGGCGGCCGAGGAGGAGCGGCGCAGGGCTGGTCGCGCTGGTGGCGGCCACCGTGGCCCTGGCGCTGCTGATGGGCGGAGGCGTGCTGACAAAGGCAAGGAGCAGCCCCCCGCCGAGGACCTCCGCTCGGCCTCCCGCAGCACCAACGAGCGAGCTCCTGCGCGGAGGCGAGCTCGGCGGGGCCACCCGCGCTCCGACGGCGAAGCGGATGCCTCGGGCTCGCCGGCCAGTGATCGAGCACGCCATGGACCTGGGGGACTCGACCGTGCTGCACAGGATGAGCTTGCCGCTGCCTTCGAGGCCGCGGCCACCTTCCCCTCGCAGGAGCGGCAGGCCATGCAGGTGGAGCAGGCACCCACTGGCAACCCACAAGCTGGGCCTCAGCACGCTCCGCCTGACCCGTGGCAACGACCTGGTGGGGACCCGTGGCATGATCGAGCTGCTCCTGCCGACGGTCACGCTGTACCTCCTGCGGCGGGCACTCCCATCGGCGGGATGGCCACCCCCGTGGATGCTGGCGGCATGGACATGCAGGCCATGCTGCAGAGCTGTATTCGCCAAGCTACCGATGCCATCGCCGCTACTTCCATGGCACAAGTCACGTCATGCCAGACGCAGCTGGTGCGCATGTTTCAGACCCAGCAGGAGGCCGTCAACAAATCCCTCGCAGTGCAGACGCGCGACATTGCTTCCATCGGCCAGCGCGCCGACGCCCTGGAGGCGGAGCAGGCCGCCATGCGCAAGCAGATCGGCGACATCAACAAGGCCTTGGCCCTCGCGGAGAAAGAGCTGCCCCTCATGGACTTTCAAGAGCTGGAGGCGTGGTCTCGTCAACCCAACCCGCGGATCTTCTCGATCGGAGCGCCGCAGTTGGTTGGACCCGCCCAAGCGCTGCAAGGCCTGGAGGAGTGGATTCGGGCTGCTGGCCTCACCAACGACATGGTCCGCCTCGACCCTGCGGTCCCCTCCAAGCGCTTCAACGCCCTGGTGCAGGGCGGCGACGGTGTCGCACTACCGCGAGCCCAAGCTCTTGCACGACAGCTACGTGACCCTGCTGGCAGGAACGGGTGGCGAGCCTTCTGCGCCCAGAGCGTCGGCGGTGGCACCGTCCCGCTGTACATCTCACCCGACAAGTCACCGCAGCAAGTGCGAATGGAGATTCAGTGGAGGAGGCTCTCGGCCCTGTTGGCAGAAGCTCATCCTGATCTCTCTTTCAGTGCTCAGCGAGCCCGTGGCATCGTCACCTCTCAGGGCGTCAAGGTTGCCAAGCTCGAGATGGGCGAATCCCGCTACACCGACACGATCATCAGGTGGAACCCAGACATGGTTGCCAGGCTGCACATCGACAGGGAGTCCATCAACATGCAGTTCAAGAAGGCCTTCTCCTTGGAGGACAATACCGAGTGGATTTAGCACCCCTCTGTGGGCGCCCTGGCGTCCCCCTGGCGGTCGACATGGCTTCCGTGGCCTTCGCATGGTAGTGTGAAACGCCCGTGGCCTGCTCCACTCGGACGCGAGGCTGCGTAGACGCAAGCTGGCACTGCGCGCATCGTACATGAAGGTCAACGCCATCATCGCTGTGCAGGAGGTCCACGGCTCCGAGGACGCCCTCAGGATCTTCCTCCAGGCGCAGCCGCAGAAGTACTTGAGCTTCCTCTCGCCTGGCCCTTCTGCTGCCGTGGGTGGAGTCGCCTTTCTCGCCCCTCGACACGTCGATGAATGTCCAAGGGCGGAAGGACCCAGAGCCGAATCTCTGGGAAGCAGGGGCGCTGCGCCGCGGGAGGGTTCCCATGCGTGCGCTTCGCCTCCTGCAGCATCCTTACCGACTCAAGATACCTGGTCAAGCACACGAACCTCCGCGTCTTCATCGGCAGCAAGTCGCCCCGGCACCTGGTCAAGTACACGAAGTCCCCCGTCGACATCCACGTCAATGCCGAACTACACCCGGTCAAGCTCACGAAACGCCACTCCTGCCCTGCCGTCCTACCGCTTCGACATAGTGGCGGCCGGCCGCGCGGCGCTCCTCACGATCACCAACAGCACGGGCAAGTACAGCATGCAGATCTTCAACATCCACAACTACGACCTCAAGCCGCACGAGTTCTCTGCTATACAGCGCACTTGGTCCAGTGGCCTGGCGCGGGCGCGCCGTGACTCGTTGCATCGCATCTTCCTGGGCGTCGGGGACTTCAACATTGCCTCCCGTCCGCCAGTCAGTCAACGTGCGCCCTCTGACGCTACGGCGTGGCGCCTGCGACCTGATCACCGATGCCAACTTCGGCAACCTGCGTGGCGCCGCCTATTCGCTGCTGCCATGGAGGTTGAATCCCAATGGCCGACTCACTACGACAAGTCCTGCAAGCAGCTGTCCACGATCGACCGCATCTTCTTGGGCATCGACGCGCACGCCATGCTTTCGGTCTCAACGATCCTGACCACCGCGAGGGATGCGATGGAGCTCTCCGAGGCGGGCATCAGTGACCACGCGCCCCTCGTCCTGCAGATTACTGCCGCTCGCCGCGTCCCTCGAGACGAGCAGCCAATCCCGACGCACCTCTTCCACCACAGGAAGTACCCCGAGGCCTACTCGCTTATGCTGGACCACTGTGCCCTGGCGGGGGAAACGGCGGAAGGTCGTTGGAGAGCAGCGAAGCAGTGCATGAAGCTTGCTGCGCGACGTGTTCGGGACGAACAGTTGAGGACCAACTTCTCCCTCCTCGTCAAGGACTCCACGGTCGAGACCTCGTACACGGGGTTCAAATCGGCGGCGCGAGCCGTTTGGCGACAGGACGCTGTCCTTGCAGGTAGGCTTCTCGACTCCTGCCCCGCGATGGCTGCCCACCTCCAAGTTACCGACGGCAACGTGCACATCGTGGACCCTAACAGCTTTGCCACTAACTTCGACGCCATCGCCGAGCGGGTGCACTCTCTGAGAAGGCAGGCGGCGGAGGCCGCAGCTCGGACCGCCAACGTGCGCGACAGCGCAGCCTGGCGGAGAGTTGAACGCAAGGCCGCCAGACATGCGCAGCTCTGGGTTCCGTGGCGGCGTCGCATGATCCTCTCGGGCTTGCGCGTGGACTCCGCCCCGTGTGCCGCCAAGGACTCGCAGGTGGCTCAGCACGTGGTCACCGACCCCGCGGGCATGAAGATGACTGTGGCGAACTACTGGGGTGAGATCTTCGCGAAGGTGCCGAATTCTGAACAGCTCAAGACACTGGGCACATTCTTGGACAAGCATGCACCGAGGAACCCTGTGGTGGAACTTCCTCAACCTGCCCTTCACAACCTGGAACGAGCGGTCAGCAGGGCACCACCAAGCGCTGCGGGACCAGATCAGCTGACGTATGCAGCATGGCGCCGCAGCCCTGGAGCTTTGCAGCATCTCCATGGGCTCATGGAAGCCCTCTTCAACGACGGAGTTGCCCCGCTCGACCTCAACTGGTCGATCTTCATATGCGTCCCTAAGGGAACGGAGGAGGACGACGTCCCAGACTCCTGCACGCGCACGGCATCCACGGTGCGCACCCTCTCCCTCAAGAACTGCGACGCCAAGCTGATTGCGGCCTGCGCGGATCGAGGGCTCCAGCCTATTGCCACCTCATCTACTTCACCCGAGCAGAAGGGCTTCACTGCTGGGCGGCGTTTCGTCGACCACATACCGTTCTTGGACGCGGAGTGCCGCAGGGAGGGCCTCCTTCCTGATGCTGTGACCCGCCGCCCCATGTTCCTGTCGTTCGACTTCCGCCAGGCCTTCCCATCGCTCTCCAGGGAAGTCATCGAGAAGGTCCTCCCGCGCTTCGGGGTCCCACTGGGCTTCCGCAACGTGATCGAGGCGCTCTACAGCAACTGCCTCGCCTTCAGCTCCTTCCGCGCCGAGGGCACCAGTGCGGAGCTCGAGCCGTTGTTCGCGCTCATGTGCGGTATCATGCAAGGATGCCCGCTCCCTGGCACGGTCTGGTGCTTGGCCATGGATGCCCCCATGCGTGCCCTGCTGGCGGCGATCGCCGAGCATGGATCCCTCGCGGCCTGCGCGGACGATCTCGGGATGCTGATCAAGAACGCGGTCGCCCTCCCGAGCATTGACCACACCTTCGTCTCCATAGAGCTCGCCTTCAATCTGCAGCTGGCCTTGCACAAGTGCGTGCTGGTCCCGCTGTGGGAGGAGATCGCGGACGACACACTGCAGAACGTCAAGTCCTTCCTCGCTGAGGAGGTCCCCCGCTGGATGGGCTTCCGCATCGACTCCTCGGCCAAGTACCTGGGAACTCACCTGGGCCCTGGCGTCACGGACTTCGGCATCTGGAAGGCTGCGGCGGGGAAGTGGTGGACCCGCTGCTGGGAGCTGGCGCGCACGGGCATGGCCACCAGCCTCGCGGCCCGCGCGTGCAACATCAACGCGCTGCCGTGCCTGTCGTACCTTGCGCAGTTCTACTTCATCGTGCCCGCCATCTGGAAGGTCGAGTTCACCTCCCTGCACCGCTTGCTGCGGTTGCCGCCGTCGTCCATGCGCAAGGCTGACATCCTATCGTTGAGCGCGTGGTGTGGCTCACCGTCGCCAATTGGCCTCTTCCCATACACGATCGCCGCGATGATGCGCTCGGCGGAGAACACGGTCCGTGGATGGGAAGCTCACCTCCGCCACCTCCATGAAGCTGCAGTGGAGCATGTTCCGCTGACCGACGTGATCAAGGGCAACTGGTCCCCACCGTGGTGGCGGGCGAGGAGGGCGATCGTGCAGAACTACGCCTTGATCTCGGATGCCTACGGCCAGCTCGACATTCCCAGACCGACGCTGGACACGATCGCGGTCCCGATCCCGAGCAGGTTCATCCAGAAGGCGAAGTCGGCGATGCTCCTGGAGACGAAGACGGCGGCCGCAGCCACTCCTCCCAGGAAGCCCAAACGACAGGCCACGGCCGCTGCTGTGCTCCGTGGCTCGCTGTACCCCGAGGACCTCGTGCCCACCTTCCACCGCCGGCTGCGCAGGTGGGGGGTCGAGTGCTCGTTGCCCGTGCTGCGCGAGAGATGGCCTCCGCTGCGTAGCAAGCTGACGGAGGTCCGCCCTGCCTGGATGTGGTCGTGGATGCGCACGGCGGTCAATGGCTGGACGACCTCGCGCCGCATGAGCGCCGTCATCGACGCACGCCCGTGCCTCTTCGGCTGCGACGACGAGGATGCGCTCGAGCACTACATCCACTGCCCGATCCTTCGGGCGATGGCCGCGGGCGACACGGGAGCGGACGCCATCGGCAACGGCCTGGAGCTCCTCGGCTTCGGCGACGAGATGTACCACTCGAAGCGGCCCATCGCGGACTGCATCTACACCGTCGGCCTCATGTGCCAGTGCTACCACATCCAGAAGTATCGGATGGACGTGGGCCTGGCCGTGGGCGCCGACCAGCGGGCTAGCGTGAGGCTGGCCGCGCTCCATCGCATGCAGGCTTAGGCGTGGCTGCAGCTCAACCTGCCCGCCGAGCTTCGTGCCCTCCTCCTCTTCCTCCTCTTCCTCCTCCTCCTCCGCCTCCCCCTCCTCCTCCTCCTCCTCCTCCTCCTCCTCCTCCTCCTCCTCCTCCTCCTCCTCCTCCCCCTCCTCCTCCTCCCCCTCCTCTCCCCCCCCCTCCTCCTCCTCCCCCTGCTCGTCGTCGCTCGCCTGGCAAACTCCAGCAAGGGCCTGCCGCCGCGGCTCCCGCAGCCGCCCGCGCCCCAGCTGCTGCTCTGCGGCGCCAGCGCGCCCTCGGCCGGGGCCCTGCGCTCCAGGTCGCAGCCCCTGCGGAGCAGCCCGCGCGAGCTGCTCCCGGCTATTTGGAGGAATAATGCACAGCATAAGCGTCAGAGGAAGAAGAGATGCCCGCACCTCCACCCCTTCGCCCGTTTTCCATCTTTTCGGCCTCCTGGGAGGCCCTCGTCGCCACCGCTGGATTCGCCTCGAAATCTCGGTCAGAACGCACACCTGGCGAGGTCCGGGGAGTAGCGGTATTTGTACCTTTTGGTCTCCCCAAAACGTACGCAGGAGGAACACCAGCCGCGTAAGCGGAAACTTTCGGATGTCCGCGCGGATTTGCCCTGGATCGGCGCTGCCCCCCCCCCCGGCGCGTATGGTGAGGGCGTTCGTTCAGGAATGGAATGTGCCCAGGAGGCTTCAGACCCTGCAGGGGTCCCTCTGAGATGAGGGCGGTGATGGTATCCATGGCCAATCCACGGTTAGAGTTCCACCGGCTTCCAGACCCTTAATTCCTCCAATGCAATTTCACCAAATTCACTCGAACAACAAATTGTCCGGGCGAATGACCCAATTGAATGCAGCTGCAAGTACCGCAGTGGTGCGTATGGTCTTGGTGGAGCTCCCTATGGGGCCACGAACCGTGTGAGGGGTGTGCTGATATGGGTGGCGGGGACGCATCTGGTCACAGCCACTGGGGCCTTCGGTGGAGCCCCCTATGTGGCCACGAAAGCGTGCGAGGGGTGTGCCGAAATGAGTGGTGGGGACCCATGTGAACGTAGCCACTGGGGCCTTCGATGGAGCTACCCATGGGGCCGCGAACCGTGTGAGGGGTGTGCCCCTAAATGGGCGCAGGACGCCTGTGAACGCAGCCATTGGGGCCTTCGGTGGAGCTCCCTATGGGGCCACGAACCGTATGAGGGGCGTGCTGATATGGGTGGCGGGGACGCATGTGGTCACAGCCACTGGGGCCTTATGTGGCCACGAACCGTGTTAGGGATGTGCGGAAATGGTGCACATGCGGAGAGCAGAGGCATGATTCTGACGATGGCGATGCTGATGTGGATGATGGCGATGGCGATGGTGATAACGATGCTGCTGCTGCTGTTGCTGCTGCTGATTGATGATTGATGTGATGATGATGATGATGATGATGATGATGATGATGATGATGATGATGATGATGCTGATGCTGATGCTGATGCTGATGCTGATGATGATGATGATGATGATGATGATGATGATGATGATGATGGCGATGGCGATTGTGATGGTGATGATGATGGTGATGATGATGACGATGATGAGGATGATGATGGTGATGATGGTGATGATGATGAATATGATGATGAGGAGGCAGGGGTCGGAGGAGAAAGAGGGTAGCGGGAGGATGGGAAGAGGAATGAGTGGGAGGAGGAGAGGAAGGAACGTGGGGCACTGTGTCTTCAGAACGACCCAACACCACAGGATGGTTGGGAACACAAATGAAGGTAAACATGCAGAGGTCCACAAGGATTTCCTGGATCGGCGCTGGGCCCCCCTCTGGCGCGCTCCGCGCACCAGTGAGGGGGTGTCAAGCGCCGATCCGAGGAATTTGCGCGGACCGCCGAAACTTTCTGCCTTCGCTGTTTCTTCGTCCTCTACGGTCGGGGACTTCGGTGGTTAGCGTGTCGCTCTGCTGGTCTTGGCCCCTGTGCTTCGGCGCCACATGCTGTTCACTTTCTGGCCGCCCCGCGTCCACGTCCTGAGCTCCCCCGAGCCTCCCGCCTCGCGGAGCGAAGTGACACGCCATCCGCGTACCCGGTGCCGCCGAGGCGACGTGCTAAGCAGAAGTTTCCGAGCGTTCAGTCGAAATCGATGATAAGGATGGGTACACATTGTTCATATCTAATTCTTCGAAAGATCTTTGATTTTTCGGGGGGCCAAAATCCTTTCATTTCTAATTGTTCTAACCTGGGCCTCTTCCTGGCCACTAGGGGGCGAGGAACATTTGGAAACGAGCACAATTAGAAATGAGCGCGATTAGAAATGAACGACGTGTAACCTCCCCACGTGTACCCTTGCATCCTTGCCTCTCCGGTCCATCCTTAACCACTTTCTCTGGCCAGCCCCGCTCAGACAGCTTCGGCATGGGCGTCCAAGGGGCTTGCATCCTTACTGCGCCCGCCCTCCTGACACGTCTGTGGGTGCAACCAGGGGGAGTTGTGTATCATGCAAGAAATAAATGATAAATAAGTCCCCCGGGTTGCACCCATCGACGTGTCAGTAGGGCGGGCTGGGCGTTCCGCCTAAGACTTCCCCTCACCACAGCTCAGCAAACGTTCCCGGCCGTATAGGCGAGCAGCTTCGACCGGCAGTCCGACGTGAGGGCGGGCCTGCTGCTGCGTCGCGCCCTGCTGCGCGCGGAGTCCTGCGGCATGCCGCCGCCCTCGCAGGCGGGGCCTGCGGAGGCGCCAGACGCGGGCGGCTCCTCTGGCAGCATGCCGCGGGCCGAGCCGCCGCTGCGTGCGGCCTCCGAGAGCCTGGGGCCGGCGCGGCGCCGGAAGCTGGAGAGCGGGGGGGGATTGGTGCGCCGATACCCCCAGACCCCCTCGAGTCGTGAAAGAAGCGAACGGCGGGAGGTTTTTCGCAATCTCTAGCATTTGGGAGCCCTTACTGGGCCCCGGGACTGTCAAGAAACTACTCAGGATGAAAAACCGGCCCTCGGGAAAGGGTCGAGACCTCTAGACGATATGAAAAATCATGACGTCGGGGGGCTGCGCCGCTGCCTTTGAGGCTGGTCTTCGCGCTGTGTGGGCCTCCTGGGAGGCCCGCGTCGTCACTCGTGGCCGAATATACATATATTCTTATTCTTATATTTTGATTACCTGGAACCCCCCCTCACCCCCCCTAAACCGGACCCCCCACCCCAGGGACGCTCCGGATGCCATTTCGGACGTCTCGGCGGCCCCCTGGACGCCCTTGGAAAAGCTTCGGTGGCCCTTCTAGGCCTCCCAGGACGCCTCGCTGGGCCTTGCGAGCCGACTCAAGGCGATCAGAGGGGTCGTCGGAGAGGCGCACGAGAGACCCAGGACAGCACAAGAGCACATGGTCTGAAGACGGCCCAAGAGGCCCCCAAGACACCCCAAGAGGCCGTTAAGAGAGCCCCGAAGAAGCCAAAATCGTCGCATTCCCTAAGCGTTTGTTTTGCATATCCGCTTTTTGGGTCTTCGCAGCGTCCAAGACGGCCCAATGGGCGCGCGATATCACCCCAAGACAACCCAAGAGGCCCCCTAGAGGGCTTGAAGACGGCCCAATAGAGGGCCCCAAGACTGCCCCAGAGAGCCCCGAGACTGCCCACAAGAAGCCAAAGATGCCCCCAGAAGGCTCCCAAGAGAGACCCACGAAAGCCATGGGATACTTCCAAGAAGGCCACTGGAGGCCCGCAAGAGGGCCCTAGATGGCTTCAGAAGACCTCTGGAGGGCCCCGGCTCCCCAAGACGGCCCAAGAAACCCCCAGGACGGTCCAATCCCCAGGACGGCCCAAAAGAGCCCCAAAAATGCCCAGACGGCGTTCTCCTACAAGTACATCAAGCTGACCCGACGATCTTTGTTCCACGCTTGAGGCTCGAGGTTTCAGCTCCTGGATCGAAAGAGACAGGCAATGGATCTAGATTTGAAGTTCGACGATCGAAGATTTCCTGAGTGTCTGGAGCCCTCCAGGCATTCTGGAAACGACCAAACATCGATTCGTTCGGAGCTACTGCGACTTCTTCGGCGTGTCATGGGACCGCTCCTTACTTCCTCAAAAGACCTTCGCGCGTGAAAAAGTCATCATTCCCTTCCCACTCCTGCGCCCAAGCGTGCAAGCGCATCGGCCGAACGCAGGCACCAGGGATATCTGAACAATGAGCCAGTCGCCCGTCCAGGCCTCGAGGTCCCCCCGCTGAAGCAAGCGATGACTTATTGCTTTGCCAGGGAAGTGTCTGGAACAAGGCGCATGGCGCGAAGCGCCACTGTAGTCTTGTATAGGTCTATATATATAGTATATGTGTATATATATACATGTTTATATATATATATACACACACAAGATTTTACCGGCTCGCTGCGCTTCGCCTGTAAAATCTTGGTCGCATGGCGCCAGGGGGGCGCGATGAGATCGGTTGCCGTCACAGCCGCTGTGTGCTCTGGTCATGGAGACCGTGGATCAAACAGGGCTGATAGGACCCAGGGAATATTGCGGCTCAAAGAGCTCAGAAGGGGTCTTTGCTGTCATGGGGCCCAGGGGTTTGGGGCCCTCATTTCAGGCGAGGGATAATGCTGCCAATGCGGCTCCAGGGGGTCATGAGATTCAGAGGGTTCACAGGGCTCATAGGGTTCATTGGGGTCATGGGACTGTTTGTGCACATCGGGCACGGCGCTCATAATACTGAGTAGCTTTTACAGAGGTCATGGGGTCATAGGAGGCTCATGGTGCTTATAAGGGTCCTGGGGCTCCTTGGAGTCATCAGCTCTTGGGGGCCTTTGGGCTCATAGAGCTCGCAATGCTCCTGGGTGCCATAGGGTCCATAGCGCTAGCAGAGCGCGTAGGCCTCGTAGGGCTCATGGAGCCGAATGTGCCCTCACATGAGCCGCACCCCACAGGGAACTCCACCGACGGTGAAGAGCCAACGTGTGCATGCCGCCGCACCGTCCATGGCGGCACACCCGTGATCTAGATTATGAGTTGGGGGGTCTTTCGGGGTCTCGCGGCGCGTGGGGGTGAGAGCTCTGGAGGTGTTAGGGCCCCCAGGCCTCACAGGGCTCAGGGGGCACCATGCGGCACCATAGTGGTCGTAGGGCTTGTGGGGCCGACAGGCTTCATATGGCTGATAGGGGTATGGCCTCTCGGGGCTGTCGTGGGGCTCCCTTTGGGGCTCTTTTGGGCTGTCTAGCGGCCCTCCTGGGCCGTCCCGGGGCCCTCTTGGGTCGTCCTGAGGGGTTTGGGCCGTTTTGGGGCCCTGTTGGTGCTTCTTGGGGGCCTCCTGCGGCCTTCTTGGGGCTCTCCGGGAAGCCTTTTGGTGCTCTTTGGGGCCGTTTTGGGGCTCTCTTGGGTTGTTTTGGAGCCTTTTTGGGCTGTCTTGGGGCTCCCTTGGGGACTTCTTGGGCCGTCCTGGGGTGATCGTGGGGGCCTCTTGGGCCGTCTTGGACGCGGTGAAGGCCAAAGAAGCGGATATGTTAAAAATGGATATTCCCCGAAGGTAATGGGACGACTTTGACCTTCTGGGGGTCTTCTTGGGGGCCTCTTGGGACGTCTTGAGAGCATCTTGGGCCGTCTTGAAGCCACCTTGAGGCCTCTTTGAGCGCTCATGAGCCGTTCGGGAGCGGTCTTGGACCGCCTTGGGGCTTTGTGGGACCGTCCGGGGATGGCCGGGCGAAGCCCCCGAAACCGAAACTCGAATTTGACGTCGGTGGGAGCGCCCAGGGCCGAATTCATATATGGGGGGGTCAGGGGGGTTCCGCTATAATAATGTTCGAAGAGGAATATATATATATATATGTATATGTATCGGTATAGGTATATGTAGAGGTATATGTATATGTATATGTATATGGTTACGTCTGTGTATGTGTATTTGTATACGTATACGTATATGTAGATGAATATAGATATATATGTTTAGATATATGTATTTGTATATGTGTATGTATATGTGTATGTATATGTGTATGTGTATTTGTATGTACATGTATATGTGTATGTACATGTATATGTATACGTATACGTAAACGTGTATGTATATGTATGTATATATATATATATATATATGTCTATGTCTTTGCATATATATATATATGTATGCATCTGTGCATGCATATGTATACGTATATGCATATGCGTATGTATATGCATATGCATCTGACTATGTATATGTATATGTATATATATATAGTCATATTCATATGTATATGTCTATGTGTATGTATATGCATATGCCTATGCACATGTAGACGTAGATGTACATGTCTATGCATATGTCTATATAGATGTATAGTTATATGTGTATGTATAGGTCTAGGTATATGTAAGTGCACGTTTCTATGGATATGTACATTTACATGCATATGTATATGCGTATGTATTTATATATGCATATGTTTATGCATATGCATATGAATATGTATATGTATATGTATTTGTACTTGTGTATGCATATGTATATGTATATGTATATGTATATGCATATGTACATGTCTATGTATAGTTATAGTTATATTTGCATGTGTATGTTTATGTATTTGTGTATGTGTATGTGTATGTGTATATGTATGTATGTGTATGTGTATGTGTCTATGTCTGTGTCTGTGTTTGTGTGTGTATGTGTGTATGCGTATGCGTATATGTATGTATGTATGTATGTATGTATGTATGTATGCATGCATGCATGCATGCATGCATGTATGTATGTATGTATGTATGTATATATATATATATATATATAGATATGTGTGTATATGTGTATATATATATATATATATATATATATATATATATACATATAACGGCGCACCGGGTCCGGGGGCCCGGGGCCGGGACCTCGACCGCAAATGTGCACCCCGGGGGCCCCGGAGGCTCGTCGGGGCTTGCCGGAGGCCTCCCCAGTCAGACAAGACGGCCCCAGAAACGCCCAAGACGGCCCAAGAAACTTCCAAGAGGCCTCCAAGAGGGCTCCGAGATGCTGAAGATGGCCTCCAGACGTCCAAGGACGCCCCCCAAGACGCCCCAAGAAGCCTCCAACATGCGTCCCAAGAGGGCCCCTAGACGCAAAAATTGGCCCATTCCCTTCGTAAAACGTACATTTTTCACAAAGTTGCCTTTTGGGCTTTCCGACGTTACAGGACGGCCCAAGAGGCGCCCAAGACCGCCCCAAGACGGCCCAAGAAGCTTCCAAGAGGGCCCCAGGACAGCCCAAGAGGGCCCCAAGACGGCCCAAGAGGCGCCCAAGATGGCCCAAGAGGGCCCCAAGACGGGCCCAAGAGGGGGCCCAGAGGGGGACCACGAACCGCAAGCTCGAGCCTTCCGCCCCAAGAGGCCGCCAGGAGGCCCCCAGGAGGCCCCTCAAGAGGCCCCAGGAGACCCCAGACGTCCAAGGACGCCCCCAAGAGGCCCCAAGAAGCCTCCAACATGCGTCCCAAGAGGGCCCCTAGACGCAAAAATTGGCCCATTCCCTTCGTAAAACGTACATTTTTAACAAAGTCGCCTTTTGGGCTTTCCGACGTTACAGGACGGCCCAAGAGGCGCCCAAGACCGCCCCAAGACGCCCAAGAAGTTTCCCAGAGGGCCCCAGGACAGCCCAAGAGGGCCCCAAGACGGCCCAAGAGGCGCCCAAGATGGCCCAAGAGGGCCCCAAGACGGGCCCAAGAGGGGGCCCAGAGGGGGACCACGAACCGCAAGCTCGAGCCTTCCGCCCCAAGAGGCCGCCAGGAGGCCCCCAGGAGGCCCCTCAAGAGGCCCCAGGAGACCCCAGACGTCCAAGGACGCCCCCAAGAGGCCCCAAGAAGCCTCCAACATGCGTCCCAAGAGGGCCCCTAGACGCAAAAATTGGCCCATTCCCTTCGTAAAACGTACATTTTCAACAAAGTTGTCTTTTGGGCTTTCCGACGTTACAGGACGGCCCAAGAGGCGCCCAAGACCGCCCCAAGACGGCCCAAGAAGCTTCCAAGAGGGCCCCAGGACAGCCCAATAGGGCCCCAAGACGGCCCAAGAGGCGCCTAAGATGGCCCAAGAGGGCCCCAAGACGGGCCCAAGAGGGGGCCCAGAGGGGGACCACGAACCGCAAGCTCGAGCCTTCCGCCCCAAGAGGCCGCCAGGAGGCCCCCAGGAGGCCCCTCAAGAGGCCCCAGGAGACCCCAGACGTCCAAGGACGCCCCCAAGACGCCCCAAGAAGCCTCCAACATGCGTCCCAAGAGGGCCCCCAGACGCAAAAGTTGGCCCATTCCATTTGTAAAACGTACATGTTCAACAAAGTTGTCTTTTGGGCTTTCCGACGTTACAGGACGGCCCAAGAGGCGCCCAAGACCGCCCCAAGACGGCCCAAGAAGCTTCCAAGAGGGCCCCAGGACAGCCCAAGAGGGCCCCAAGACGGCCCAAGAGGCGCCCAAGATGGCCCAAGAGGGCCCCAAGACGGGCCCAAGAGGGGGCCCAGAGGGGGACCACGAACCGCAAGCTCGAGCCTTCCGCCCCAAGAGGCCGCCAGGAGGCCCCCAGGAGGCCCCTCAAGAGGCCCCAGGAGACCCCAGACGTCCAAGGACGCCCCCACGACGCTTCGCGTCACCAATTTCTTCTCACAACGATTCCTGGGTCTGTGACTCGACAGAACCTAAGCGCGCGCGAAGCGCGCGCGTGGTTCTAGTATATATATATATATATATATATATATGTATGTATTCGCGGGGCCGTGGGCCGGGCCCCTGGGCCGCGACCCTGCGGACACGGGGCGTTTTTTCGCGGATGTCCCGCGCGGGACGTAGCCGTTCGACCGCGTGTCCGCGGGATCGCGCCCTAGTATCCAGACCGCGAAGGCGCTGATACGCACGTGTCTAGGCCTACCAGATGGGGGCGGAGTAGATGGGGTCGGAGGGTCGCACCAGATGAGGTCCTCCGACCCCATCCACACCGACCCCATCTGGGAGACCTCGAATTTGCTCGCCGCTCGTCGGCCACGGCCGCATTCGCGTCGAGATACTGGCCCGAACGCGCCCCCGGGAGAGGTCCGGGAGGGAGCTCCCCCAGGAGCGGGGCTGGCGCCAGTCGGGCGCCAGCCTGCCGCCGCCGCGGCGCGACGCTGAGGGCCCGCCGTCGCCGGCGGCGGGCGACTGCGTGGAGGCGCACGGCGTCCTCCTCCTCCTCCTCCTCCTCTTTGTTCTGCTCCTCCTCCTCCTCCTCCTCCTCCTCCTCCTCCTCGTCGTTCTGCTCCTCCTCCTCGTTCTACTCCTGCTCCTCCTCCTCCTCCTCCTCGTCCTCCTCCTCCTCCTCCTCGTTCTGCTCTTCTTCTTCCTCCTCCTCCTCCTCCTCCTCCTCCTCTTGTGCGCGGAGGCGCACGGCGTCGGGGGCCACCCCGCGCTGCAGACGGGCTGGTCCCTGGACCTCGCCGTGCCTCAGTCGCCCAGGGCCGGCAGCAAGAAGGAGCAGACTCGTCTCACCGATCCCCCTCCCCCATCCCAGGCGTGGGCCATGGTATCTCGCCCCCCCCCCTCCAGTTGGGCACGCGCCCTGCGAAACCCGAAGGGAGGAGCATCACCCGGAGAAGCAATCAAGAAACCCTCCTCCCCCCCCCCTCTCCGGCGAAAGTATAACGCTCCAGCACCCTGGAAGCGTTACCTGGCACCTCGCAACCTGCTTTGAACGCAGACGAGTCTGCCCGCCGAAACAAGGAAACCGCCTGAAACATTCTCGCAATCTGACCTCCGTGTGGTTCTGAAACAAGCGCCTCGCCTGAGACATCCTCAGAAATTGCTCTGAACGCAGACGAGTCTGCTGTGGGGGAGTCCTATGGGGGAGTCCCATGGGGGAGTCCTATGAGATACCGCCCGAGCCAAGGCGCGGGAATTATTTATTTTCCTTTCTTTTGCCCGGTGCTAAAGATATCTTTCCGCGAAAACCGCCCCCAGGACTTATCTAATTACGGTGCGGTGCTAACAACCAACCCGGGGGGGGTTCTTAATTGCTTACTGCGGTTAGTTACATCCCCGTCCAGGGGGGTAAATCGGCCAGTGGGTCCAAGGCCACGCCAGCGGGGATAGAGTTTGTTTCAACGATATTCAGAGGAGGCGCCTTCCAGGATGAAGCTGGTGAGGTCCGTCTTCGCCGGGAGGCCGCCCGTGCTGCTCTTCGACTGCGGCCCTCAGGGTGGCGGTGGCGAGGCGTGCGCGCCGGGCAGGGCGATGGATGCCAGCGAGCTGCAGGCGGAGGGTCTCGCGGTGCTGCCGAAGATGTACTTCACGCACCCGGTCACGCAGGACGTGCACGAGTACAACTCGGTCCTGAACACTCTGCGGGACAACGGTCTGAGCCGGGTCGATCTGAGCTCGCCGAAGTGGTCTCTGCTCTGGGGTGGGCATCCGACGCCCGAGGTGCTGCGGGCGTTCCACCCGTTCCAGAAGACGAACCACTTCCCAGCCTCCTGGCACCTCGGCCGCAAGGATCTGCTCTGGCGGAACGTGTACAAAATGCGGCGCCAGTGGGGGCGCGAGTACGACATCATGCCCCACGGGTTCGTGCTGCCGGACGACGCCAAGGCGTGGGAGACTGCGCGCCAGCAGAGCCCCGGCGCCCTCTGGATCGTGAAGCCGCGCAACGCCGCCTGCGGGCGAGGCATCCGCCTCTTCACCTCGTCCATCCCGGCAGCGACAGAGAAGAAGGTGGTGCAGAAGGCGTCGGGCGGGTGGCAATGGGGGGTGACCCAACAGGGGGGGTGAGGAAAGAGGCCCTAAAGGAGTCCTTTAGGGCCCCTTTTGGGCACCGGCTGGCTCCAAAAGGGGCCCTAAAGGGCCCCTTTCAGGCCCTGCTCTTCAACCCCCATGTGGATCACCACCCATTACCACTCGCCCGAAGGCGGGCGTGGTTCAGCAGTACGTGGACAGGCCCCTGCTGATCAACGGGTTCAAGTTTGACCTCCGGCTGTACGTCGTGGTCACCTCCTACGATCCTCTCAAGATCTACCTCAACGGGGAGGGCCTCGTGCGCCTCGCCACGCAAAAGTACGATCGCTCGGCGAGCAGCATCGACCAGAGGACCATGCACCTCACGAATTACTCGGTCAACAAGCACTCCGCCGCGTATAGGTCAGGAGGGACGAAGCAGGCACAGACGCACACACACACAAACACAGGTCGGTTTCCAGGATAAGCAGAGGACAATCTTGGAGATGGGGGAAAGCGCACATTCAGAACGTGCCGGAAAATCTAGGGCATCCTGGACCTGTGTACAGTTGACCTGGACTCGTGTACAGTTAGCTGTATCTCCCTCGGCCCCTTCAAGAGGGTCAACCCCGACGGCGCCGCCGCGGCAGCGGGCCGCGCCTCGCGTGCCTCGGGCGCCTCGGCCGCGGCCGAGAGCGGCGAGGAGGACGACGGCGAGGACGCCGAGGCGGCGGGCGAGAAGGACGGCTCGCAGGGCGCCGCCGCGGGCGACCCGCCGGGCTCCTCCAAGTGGTCCCTGCAGGATCGGGAGCCTTGAGTTAAGTCGGGCCTGTCCCTCTACAGGGGATATTATTCAAAAAATAGTTAAACAATCGTCTTGGGATGATTTTTCCCATTTTTGATTACTTTTGGGGTATTTGTTGTGTACTTTTTATTTTTTCGTTCAAAATCCGCCTGTAGAGGGACACGCCCGACCTAAGCCTTGAGACGGGGGTCAATGCAAACGCGGGTCAGCCAGAGCGCCAGATCTTGCAGGATCCTGCAGGGCCAGGGTCGCACCGACCCGGGTTTGGGTGCAGGATCCTGCAGGATCTTGCAGGATCCTTCGCATTGACCCCGGTTTGGGTGCAGGATCCTGCAGGATCTTGCAGGGTACTGCAAAGCCCTCCGGACTCGGGTCTGGATTGACCCTGGTCAGCAGGTCCCCGACAGGAGCTGCGGGACCACTTCGCGGCCATCGGCCAGGACTACGACCTGATGATGGCACGGATCAAGGATCGGGGAAGCGCGGGGCTCGAGCTCGCTCGGACTCGGCTCTGCCGACGCTCTTTGACGAGCCCGTCCTGGATTTTGAGGGTCCAGTTTTGGTGGGACGTCTGCAGCGAGAGCTCGCGTCAAATTTCAGACGGTATGCCGTCATCTCTTGACGGCCCCGTCAGGCCAACCCGAGGCCCCCTAACCCGAGTCTCATGTCTCACCGAAAAGGACCTCCGGTCGGAAATCATGGGAGCCTCGCATGTCCTCGCAATTCCGTGCTTAGAGCGCATCAGCGTGCTTCCAGCGCCTGATCGCCGATGAGAGACAGCCGATTTGGCGTCGACTTGGCGTCGATCAGCGTCGACATGGGGTCGGTTCGCGTGGGTCCGCAGGGGCCAGCACGACGGCACGGGAGGCTCCCACGAGCCGCCACCGAAGAGGACCTGCTCATCAAGACGTGCCTGGCGGCCGAGCCCATGATCGTCAACGCCTGGCACCAGGGCGCAAACTTCTCGTCCCTGGGCGGCGCGCCCCTGAAGCGCGTCGGGCCGAACCAGACGTGCTTCGAGGTCTACGGCTTCGACGTGATGGTCGACGAGCAGCTGAGGCCGTGGCTGCTGGAGGTGAACGTCTTCCCCTCCCTGTCCTCGTCCTCGCCGCTGGACAAGCGCATCAAGACGAAGCTCATCGCCGACGTGCTCACGCTCGTGGGGCTCCACCCCTTCAGCCACGAGCTCGTCGAGCGCGCCTCGAGGGAGGAGGCCACGAAGAGGCTGCAGAGCGTCCGACCCCGGCACGCGGCGGTCCATGAGCGTCGTGAGAAAAAAACGATTCTTCTCCCAGGTCACCAAGCGCGTTCCACTGACTCGCAGAGCAGGGCTGGACCTGAACGGTGCTTTGCGATTTCGTGGGCCGTTTTCGTTTCGGCTTCGTTGTGCGGTAAAGGCGGATTGAAGACAACGAAGGAACACGAACACACCGCGAAAACGAAACACACCGTTTAGGTTCAGCCCTGTCGCAAAGTGCCTACTCGCAAACGTCCGAAAAGCACATGCCTGTTTCGACGCAATTTATCGCAGATCCCCCGCGGCGGATCCAGGCAATTTGCGAGTAGTTGATCTACGAGTAGTGGAACGCGCCTGTCCACCATTGGTCGAAAAGCGAACGCCTGCGTAAACATAAGATTTTGGAGGTCTGCCTGGATGTCTTGGGTCGGCGCTGCCCCCCCCCCCCTGGCGGCACCACTGGCGCCGCCCCTGGTGCGCTCCGCGCGCCAGGGAGGGGGGTCCAGCGCCGATACAAGAAATCCGCACGGACCTTCGAACGTTTGCGTTTGTGCAGTTTTTTGTTTTTTTTCGGATTGGGCCATGTTTTCTGAGCCCAACCATGTCACCCGTCTAGGTGGGTACTGGTCCTGCGAAGCTCGAATGGAGCATCACATCTATATTTCCACCTGGGGGTAAGTCGGCCAGTGGGGCCAAGCCCCTGCCAGTGGGGACGGATCGGTAAAGCGATGCTCAGGTCACCACCACCCGCGACGCGCAGTCGATACAGGCCGCCGCCCTGAGGGACCTCGGCGAGGCCGAGTGGCGCCTCATCCTGGACGCCCATGACGAGGCCGCGCGCAGTGGCGGCCTGGAGCGCATCTACCCCACGGTGGACACGCGGGAGCGGTGCCGGCCATGAGGCAGAACCTCGAGACCCAGGCGTTGCACTTTTCACACCGGGCGTTTTCGCCCGTTTGCGGGCCTGGGACCATCACAGATCGATCCGAGATGCTTAATTTTTTGTTTGCGCCTGGAGCTGGCGAAAACCTACGCGTTGTCATGGCGCCTGGCCCCTATCATCCGAAAAGATATGTGACCGAGCCATCCAATGGCCTGCGGCACATCCGCCATCGTGTCTTGGTTGTGTGTCAGAGTTCTCAGGGATGCTTCTTGGGATCTCTTCGGAGCGCTGGAGCCTCTTGGGGGCCTCTCGGGGGCCTCTTGGGACCTCTTGGGGCCTCTTGCGGGCCTCTTGGGGCCTCCTGGGGGTTCTCGGGGCCGAGAGCTCGAAATGTCCTTTCGGGTTCCCCATCTGGGCCCCTTTTGGAGCCGTCTTTGGGGCGTTTTGGGCCGTCTTGGGCGCCTCTTGGGCCCTTTTGGGGCCCTCTTGGAGGCCTCTTGGGTCGTCTTGGGGCGATCTTGGGAGCGTCTAAGGCCGTCTGGGAGCTTCTGGAAACCGAAAAGGCGAGAAGGCCAAAAACCTTCAAAAACTTAGGACGCTATGGGATTTTGACCTCTAGGGACCCTCTTGGGAGGCCTCTAGGAAGCCTCTTGGTGCGTCTTGTAGGCTTCTTGGATTGTCTTAGGGCCATCTTGAGAGTCTTGGGGCGATCTTTGGGCGTCTCGGGTCCTCTTGGGCCGTCTTAAGAGCCTCTTGAGGCCCTCTCGGCCTGTCTCAGGGCCCTCTTTGGTCTTAAAACGTTGCGCGAGAAGCCGCGGGAAGCCCTCAACAGGCCGCGCCAAGCCCAAGAATATTTGGCAATTTTGGGTCCGGGCCCTTTGAAGATTCCTTAGGATCGAGGACTGGGGCTCAGGGGATAGAAAACGTGGCCGAATTTGTATCCCAAACCGTAGTGTGACCGACCTTGTGACCGAAACTGAATTTCAAGTTGATTTCGAGCCAAGAATTTCGGCCACACTCGGGCTCCAGTTTCGCCCGCACTCGGACAGATATTCGGGCACAGTTTCGGCGATTCCCCCCCCTGGTAGAGACGAGGCTGCTTGAGTCGTGAATTTTTCAATGCGTTGGAGTCATGTTTATTCTTGCTGCGAGCCCAGGTACGCGCAGTACTTCTCCTCGCCCCGGTATTCGAATCATGTGCTCGCGCGCTGGCTCGAGGCCGGGGGAGAGCGGCTGTTCGCCACGGGCTCCCCGAGCGAGCTGCCGGACATCGGGGCGGAGGGGGTATGTCGGGGGGGCCCCCGAACAGTGCGGTGACCGCACCGTTTGGTGAGTCGGTGGGGATTCGGAGGGTGTATAGGGGTGGTGGTGGTCGGAAGTTCTCTTGAGTTTTCGAACGCTTACGAAGCCTGGGGTGGTTTACATCAGTCTTGCCCCCCTCTTCCCTCTTGCCTCTGGCCTCGCCTCCCTCCCCTCCCCGCTCTTCCTCCCCCTAGTCTGCAGAGACGGTATTTCCGCTGCTGTTCGAGAGATGTAGCCAGGAGCAGTTCGCACGTTGATCGATCGCGTCCCAACCAACCAATCGTCGAGGGCGTTCCCGGGGTGCCCAGATCGTCTGGTACGGCCGCCGGAGAGCCGAGTTGCGGCCCGCAAGCTGGGGCACACCCAGACGGTGGGGTGGCCGCACCGTGTGGTGAGTGTTGGTGGGGATTCGGAGCCACCGCGCGGTTTTGGGGCTCGGGGTCGCTCTGAGAGTGCGTCTCGGGCGGCACGTTCTCGACGCCATAGGGTGTGCGCAGGGGGTGGTCCCTCAGCTCGGCCGCTATGCACGACGGTCGTCCAGGGCACAGCAGGCGTGGCAGTTTCTCGACACCATAGGGGGTGCGCAGGGGGTGGTCCCTCACCGCGGCCGCTATGCACGACAGTCGTCCAGGGCATAGCAGGCATGGCACTTTCTGGACACCATAGAGGGTGCGCAGGGGGTGGTCCCTCACCGCGGCCACTATGCACGACGGTCGTCCAGGGCATAGCAAGCGTGGCGCTTTCTCGACGCCAGACGGGGCGCGCAGGGGGTGGTCCCTCACCGCTGCCGCTGGCTGGCTCGAATCTGTCCTCGATGGGGGATAGAAGGCTAGGAAGAGGGAGGAGGTTCAAGCAATATGGCGTTGGATGACACAGGGGACATTCGCGACGAGGGATCAGAACGCCGAATTGCGCATATATTATAAACTTAAGGAAACACATGCGATTTGAACTAAGTATGTGGGGTTCCTCGGTGGCGTAATTGGGGTGGTCCTGCACTTTTTCGATGCGCGCCCGTGCGGGGCGGGCCCCAGGCGCAGTCCCGGTTTCTCGCCAGCGCCGCCACGAGCCGACGCGCCCCTGGGTTTTTGCCCTGGCACGAGCGCGCGAACATCCACAATGACTTTGGGCATTGGCAGCGTGCCAGCACAAGGCAACGCCAAGTTCATCAAACGCCAACAAGCATAGCAGCAGCGCGCCGTTCGCATTGAATTGCACGGCGTTGTCCTCGGCTGACCGTCGAGCTGTTTCCGCTTGCAGCTCACGCGTCGTTTGACGGTCCCATTAATCTAAGTTCTTGATGTGGGGGGCGGGGGTCGTTTTTCATGCGTTCATGGGGGCCCATCAACGTGCTGCTTCTTGTCCTCCGTCCTCCGCGGCCGCCCTGTCTGTCTTGTCCCTCCCTTCCTGCACGCCGGCCACTTCGCGTTTCGGCCGCCCCGATCGCTCGCTCACCGCTGGAGCAGCTCTTCTGCTTCGCCGCCGACGGAAAAAACAAAATGCGACCTGGTCTTCGCAGCGCCACGTTGTTTGGCTTCCCACCCCAGAACCCCGACGCCATGATATTTTCGTGACGTCGACCCCCGGAGGTCTCGACCTGTCCCAGGGGACCCGTTTCGCATCCCGAGCCGTTTTTGGACGGTCGAAAACCTCCAGTCATGGGACGGTCTGGGACGGTGGCGTGGCCTTCCCCACCCGGCGGGGCTCGTAGATCTAAGGAGAAAGCTGCTCCCGACCTGCCTCGCACACCAGGCATACCGCGGCCACCGGGCCCGGGGGGTCCCCGGGTGTCTGCCTCGCGCCTTCGACGAAGGACCCCAATTGCGGTGCCGCGGCCGCCAGGCCCCTGAGGGCCCGGGGCTGCCGCCTCGCGTTCTCGGGTGGGGATCGCTTGAAGCAGCACAGTCCCAGACACCCGGCGTCCCGATTTTTCGAGGCACGGACCCCCGACCTCTTGACCGCTTCCGCGGGCCGGTGTTTCTTCCCGAGGCGTGGCCCAGTGGAGGCCCTGCGAGGCCGAAGACAGTGAGCACCCTTCGTCTCGATTCTGGTTGAGGCGATGGACGTCGGGGGTTGAGATCCTGCTTTTGCTCCTCCGGTGGTCTACCCTTCGAGCCCCTCCCACCCCAGACCCCCGAGGTCATGATTTTTTCATTACATCGACCCCCCGAGGTCTCGACCCAATCCCTGGTACCGGTTTTTCATCCCAAGTCGTTTTCTGACGGTCCCGAGGCCCGGTGAGGGCCCCCAGAGGCTGAAACGAATGAGAAACCTTACGTCGTGATTTTTTTCTTTGCTCGAAGGGGTCTGGGGCCCTCCTGGCCTGTGGCGCTCCCCAGGACTGGGTCCTGCACGCGGCCGGCGCCGCCCCCCGGTGAGGGCGCCACGGGCTCCCAGCCCCGCCTCGCGACGTGCGCGGCATGCCCCCTATTGTCCTGTTTGGCTCCTCCTCCTCCCGCATCCCGCCTCCCGCCTCCTCCTCCCCCCTCCTCCTCCTCCTCCTCCTCCTCCTCCTCCTCCTCCTCCTCCTCCTCCTCCTCCTCCTCCTCCTCCTCCCCCTCCCTCCTCCCTCCTCGTCCTCCTGCTCCTCCTCCTCCTTTTCCTCCCTCTTCCTCCTCCTCCTCCTCCTCCTCCTCTCCTCCTCCTTGCTCTCTCCTCCTCCCTCCTCCTCCTCCTCCTCCTCCTCCTCCTCCTCCTCCTCTCTCCTCTCCTCCTCTTCCTCCTCCTCCTCTCCTCCTTGTCCTCCTCCTCCTCCTCCTTTTCCTCCTCTCCTCCTCATCCTCCTCTCTCTTCCTCCTCTCTCCTCCTCCTCCTCCTCCTCCTCCTCCTCCTCCTCCTCCTCCTCCTCCTCCTCCTCCTCCCCCTCCTCCTCCTCTCCTCCTCCTCCTCCTCCTCCCTCCCTCCCTCCCTCCTCCTCCCTCCCTACCTCCCTCCCTCCCTCCCTCCCTCCCTCCCTCCCTCCCTCCCTCCTCCCTCCTCCTCCTCCTTCCTCCTCCTCTCCTTCCTCCTCCTCCTCCTCCTCCTCCTCTTTCCTCCTCCGTCCTCCTCCTCCTCCTCCTCCTCCTCCTCCTCCTCCTCCTCCTCCTCCTCCTCCTCCTCCTCCTCCTCCTCCTCCTCCTCCCCTCCTCCTCCTCCTCCTCCTCACTCCTCCTCCTCCTCCTCCTCCTCCTCTCCCTCCCTCCCTCCTCCCTTCCCTCCGCCCTCCCTCCCTCCCTCCTCCCTCCCTCCCTCCCCTCCCTCCCTCCCTCCCTCCCGCCTCCTCCCTCCCCTCCCTCCCCCCTCCCTCCCTCCCTCCCTCCCTCCCTCCCTCCCTCCCTCCCTCCCTCCTCCTCCTCCTTTTCCTCCTCCTCCTCCTCCTCCTCCTCCTCCTCCGTCTCCTCCCGCCTCCTGCTGTTGCTGCTCCTCTCAGCAAGACAGTTCTCTGGTTTGGAGGATGTGGCTTGGAGAGATGATCACATCATCCGTACTATTGCGTCTGCCAAGTGTGTTTGTTGCACAGGCGTGCCCCGTATCCTCCCAGACCCATCCTCCCAACCCGATAATTGTCTTTATGGTCCTCCTCCCCTCCTCCCCTCCTAAGCCTCCCAGATGGTGTCCGAGCAGATGGGGCCGCAGGATCGCGCCGCATCGCCGCTGCGTCGCCGATGCGGCTCGATGTAGAGCCCGAATTTCTCCACGCCGACGGCGCCGACGCATCGCCGACGTCGCCGATGCATCGCGGGTGCGTCGGCGATGCGGCGCGCCCCTCCGATGTTACTCGGACCCCATTTGGGAGGCCTCCATCTCCCTTTCTGTTGCTGCTGCTGCTGCTGCTCCTCACCATCCCTCGGAGAAGAAAGCATGGCATACAAATGCATGGTCGAAGCTCTGCGTGCAGCTCTTGGGCCGCTGCAGGGCCCCCGTGGCTGCGCCTCCAGCGCCGCCCCTGGCGCTCTCCTCGCGCCATGGAGGGGGTTCCAGTGCCGATCGAAGAAGTGCGCTCGGACCTCCGGGCACGTTTGCTTCCGATCTTCTTCTCGTTATTCCTCCTCGTTGGGCACGCTCGACGTTCCTCCTTTCCTCCTTGCCTGCCCCCCTCTCCTCCCCCCTCATCTCGCTCCTCCCCCCTCCTATCTCCTCCCTGGCAACCTGCTGCTGCTCGCTCGCTCGCTAACTGGGGGCGTACCGAAGGCGAGGCCCAACTACCAAGATTCGTGAAAGGCAAAGGCAGTACCCCGTATACCTAAGACAGGCATGACGAGGGAGGAAGGATGGGACATTGACGGGTCCTGACTTGATGCTGCTGCCGTCCCTGCGACAGCGCTGCTCCGTCCTCCTCCACTTCCCCATCCGCCTGCTTCTCCTCCGTTTCCTCTCCTCCTCAATTTCCCTTCCCCCCTGCTCCCCGTCTCCGCTCCGCCTCCTCATTTCTCCCTCCCTCTCTCTCCGCAGCCGCTGAGCGCGTCACCGAGAGGGCGCGCCCCGCCCTTTCCTGAGGGGGAGAAGGGGAGGTGCGTGGAGCGGCGGGCCCACTCCAACCGTAGATGCGGTACGTACTGTACACGCAGCGCTTTGCCCGTAGCGTAGTGCACGGAGTGCATGTGTCGATCGTATGCACGATGTCCATGATGATGATGATGATGATGCCTAGTGCGTTACACGGGCAGACGTAGCATCTTATGTGTCAGATTCACACTCGTAGTTCGTAATCTTCTCAGGCTTCAAGCAGGCCGGTCTCGCCATGACTCCCCGGAGTCATCGTTTGCCAGGTCGTAGTGCTCAGCGTTCCACTTGTCTTCGTTTGAGTAGTTCGGTGTTGTCCTTATCGCTGCTGTCCTCGTGTCGTCGTAGAACTGCTCCGGCGGGCAGACAAGGGCGCTTTGATGGCTCCTTCGTGGCTCAGCGCGCGGACCATCGCGTCGCCGTCCTCGTAGTAGCGGCCAACGCCCATGTCGAATGGCACCATCGTGTCGTTGGGCTT